TTTTTTTTTTTTTTTTTTGTGATTTGTTAAACTGAAACATTCAATTGGTTTTTATATATTCTCTTGTTTAAGATTGAAACTTTAAGTGCACTTGGCTGAGTTTTATGCGGGTATGATAGCGTCCTGCACCGGGCATGAGGTTGTGGAGGAATTGAATGGTAGAAAGCGTTTGCGAGAGTCTAGACCTTCTGAATTGTGATTAAATTCTCTAACTAGTGAATGCCTGCAAATTTTGAGGAGGATATTTAGGGTAAGAGGAATATGAGCTGAGGTCAAGACTGGTACAATTTAGCTTTTTTCCCTCTATGAGGACAGTATCCTTAAGTAGGGACGTGAAGGAGCTTAATACAAACGTCTCAGGACCCAATTCCTTTAGGACTGAACCCAACGCTCAGTGATAAATGTCTTTTCTTAATCTGGTTACTAGCCATATGAAGCAATTTTTACATTCCTTTACCCGAGATGATGGTAACTATTTTGTTTATGGATAGAGTGCCATCCACTTTTTCTTGACATAGAGGTAGCGCTCGAGCCACATTTTCTTTAATCGATCAAAGCAAGCACATCTGTTAAAACATCATGTTCATTTGGAAGTGGGAAACTCAAATGCATGACAAACGTATACAAGGAAAGGACAGTGATGCTGCCCAGTTACGGAGGTATAAACTATAAGAGCTAACAGTCAATACATTGGATCAATCATTACGAGAAATATGCCAAGAGTTAATCAACTCTGATTCATGTGAGTCAATTGTTTTTGCCCAAGTGTAGGCTACAACGGACTCTTTGTTTGATGATCCAATGAAGCTGGGGTTTCATGACACGAAACAGTGAAAGAGATTTCTAAACAAGTAAAAGTGAAAGTTGGCAAGTTAATCAGGCTGACCAGCTATCGTTTATTTGTTTTTGGCTGTGGGTGACTGGGTAAGGATTCATCAGTGCGCTTGAAGTTGGGCGGTGGGTAGGTCATTATGGGTAGACTCATGTTTGTTAAGGTGAGGTAGAAGCAGGCAGTGGCTGCTGCTATCATAAGTGACCAATGGGTGACAAGATAGTGGTTCTCAGTTTCTTATCATAGGAAGATAATGGTTCTCAGTTATTTACCGGCTTTTGTGACATTTTTCTTGATTTAATCTTGGGTTTCCTCAGTAATCTGGAGTGTATATTATATGACTAATGTGATAGCTTAGAACCATCATTAGAAAAAAAAGTCTATTTTGTTCTCTTTGACCGTAGTGTTATGTTGGCATAATCAGGATCTTGTCACAGTTGATACAACTCTAAAGTAGACACATTTCATGCATCTGAACTCCATGGCAGGGTGACATGTTCGAGGAATTATTAATACTGCTGAGATTCTTACTTTGTCCCAAAAAGAAAGAGCTACATGAGAGATAAGTTTCAGAGGAGAGGAAAAGGAGAGAAAGAAAGAGAATGTGAATATTCCCATTAATGAGATAACTTAGTGGTGAAAAGTAAAAGCTACCTTAGTACTTTCTATTTACAGCAAAAATTATCTTTTAATAAACAAATTAACTAACTATTAAGTAGCTTTCCTACTCTAATTCATTGGTGACATTATTTGCATCGAAGCTTATAGTTATTCCTTTTCCGTAGGCTTCAACATCTTAACACATGGTAATACAAGTGGACAGTGCAATATAAACAATCATTGTTACTGAAGAAAAAAATGCTGTGATTCTAGATTGTGACTATTGATAACACTGATTCACTGGCTGTGTATTGCTTTTATTGTTACAACCCATGGTCTTTATCTCATCATAGATACGGTCAACTGTTCGAATGTTTAAAACCCAAACCATTCATTGAACCAGAAATTTGAGTAGAGCAAAAAATCATTGGTTTAATTATCAGGCTGCAGTGTTATCAAAGGCGAAAAGCGCAAAAAAGCTCTAAGGTCCATCGGACTTTAAGCGCAAATAAAGCATGGGCTTTAGTGAAGAAAGGCGCAAATGGAGAAAAAATAATAAATATGCATATGTAATCCAAGACTAATAATTATAAGCATGAATAACAAATATATGGATAAAGAAATTAATTTTTTTTACAATAAAGTAAAATATCAATTGTTTAGGTCTGTCTTCAGAATTACGCTCATTAGCAAGAAAAAGTATGTCTTAGAGCGTTGATGACAACACTAAAGCGTCTGCTAAGCGAGGCGAAACACTCAACATGTTTTGAGCCTCGCTTTAGGGCTTAAGCGCGCCTTTGATAACACTGTCAGGTTGATCACACAATCAAAATAATGCATAATAAACATCTCATACATTGCAACTGTAAGTTTTATCCTTCAAATACAAAGCAACTGAAGTTGTACGTATTTTCACGGTGCACATATCGGAGGAAGAATATTATCCACTATCTTATATAAAGAAGGTAGCCCATGTAACTTAGTTGGCGAAGGTTCCGATGCACCGTAGTATTGAATATGGTATTCATTCATTTTCTCCAGTCTTCCTTGGTTTATATCACATCCCATAAGGCATTAAAACTTATATCCATCATAATTCTTTCCAGTGCCAACACATTTGTTCTTCTTGTGACTTTGACAGCTTCACTATCCAGGTCTCTGTCTTAGACAGCTATAGCCCATAGCAGTACTTTACCAAAATTAAAATGCAACAGATTCATCAGTTTTAGATTTCCAGTTGAACTGGATGTGCTTGATTAGTTTCGTTGAATATAGTAGTTTTTCTAGCAAAGAGTTGTCAAAGCATGACTAAACTGGAGACTTGGCTGTTTGACTTTTATACTAGTCCTATCGGGGTGTCAACATTCTGCTGATGGGAGGAGCTTTCGTAAAATATGGTAATCTTTACTTTGTAATTTACTTGGTTGTCTAAGAGGGATGAGAATCGAGCTTCGTGTCTTTCACTTTTGTAATTTACTTGGTTGTCAAAGAGTTTTCAAAGCTTGGCTGTTTTCATGTATGGCATGCTGTATATGCGTTTTAGCTGATGTTAACTGGGATGCTGTCTTATGAGAACAGATTTATTGCTTGATTATTTTCTTGGATAGGTTGGCACTGACTAGGTTTTCTATCCTATTCTCAGGCTCCGCGCATATGACATGGAAAGAGAAAAAGGAGTTGGAGAACAAGAAAATAGTTTCGCTTGGTGGGAAGGTGAGACACAGCCTTTATGAAGAATAACATTGGCTATAGTAATATTCTCTGCAATTTTTTTTTATAAATGCTGTAATATTTCTGGATCTGTTAATAATATTCCTGGTAATTGCGGCAGCCTCAGAAGAAACAGAGGTTACCATTAAGTGTTGCACGAGTAATGATGAAGAAACAGAAGGAAAGGGAGGAGAAAATACAAGAAGAGGTTGAAAACTTCTGCTTTCTTTCAAGTTGCTCACTCAAAGGTCCCTTAACATAAGTTGCTAACTTATTTGTCTCACAGAATTTGATACTTGGACGATTTGGGGGAAACAGTAGTAGTAGTTCAAGAAAAGCAGCGGGAAGGCGCAGACCTGAGGATAGGGTGCTGAAATCAACTGAAGGTCACTTCAGAAATGGGGTGCTTGATGTTAAGGACTTATTAAAACCTTCTGCACCAAAAGCACCTAAAGCATTTGATGCGAAGCAGTCTTTTGCTAGTAAAGGGAAGAAGAAAAAGGGTGGTAAAAAGAACAAGGGCAAGAAGAAAAAGGGTCCTGGTAAGAAGCGCCATTAAACATGGGATAAATGGCGAGACCTCCTTGTTTTCTTTATATTTTTAAGCTTTAGATTCCAGTGTAGTAGATTATATCTCTAATATCTTAAAATTTTGTTGTAGTCTCCTGAATTTTCTGTGTTCTGATGATGAGTGTAGTAATGCTTAATGGATGTACACTTTTTTGGTGGAAGAGAAAGTGAACATTAACTGACATCCCTTGTATGTGTTTTATCGAGCAATACAATGTCAATTCTCAAGTGCACTGGTGTCCACTTAGTGGATTAAATCGACTGCCTTCGTCTTTGGAGTAAGTGTAATTTTGCTGTAAGTTAGTGTTTTCACTTTCTACGTCTTTGGAGTAAGTGTGATTTTGCTCTAAGTTAGTGTTTTCACTTTCATTTGGTTGAATATTTGATTTGTTACTGTTCTGCTTCTACTCTCTAGTGAGAGATGCTGTATTTTAAAACTGGCGAATTGGTAGAATTTATGTTAATGCAGGCACAACTAGTTACACTCAAAATAACGGAGAAATTGTGGCAGTAATGTAGTCTTAGAGTAACAGATGAGGTGTGTGCTGTTTTTCAAACTTTTGAGTTCATTACTTTTTTGACAAGTACGTTTCAACAGTTAACAATATTAGATTCAATATATGTCTTATTAGATTCTGATTACTGCAGCGCAAATGGTTGACTCCAACCAAAAAAGTGCTTACTAAAAGAGTACTTTTTGCGTTCCAGAAACAAACCCTAGAAGGCTATGAATTTTCTAAATATTCACGACAATTTGGAAGTGAGTTGGATATATCTTTTGTTGTAATTTTCAAACTTCTCAATTGTTCAATCATTTGGAGAAAAAGTGGAATATAGTCACATACACTGTTCAATTTGTCATTAGGACAGTGTATGTTATAGTCTTTTAAAAAAAGCTGCTATAAGCTCCGGTTGTGCTTCTCTGTCGTTATGTCATGTACCAACAATGTGAAGAATAAACTTGCAATACTATAAAGAAAAAATAAGGTACGGGGTAATATTATTATATAAAAAGGTATGGTAAAAGATAAACTAAGACTATTTAATAATAAAAAAAGGGCAAGATAAGAGAAAAAAATAAGATAATGACGCGACCACACCGAATCGGTCGTTCCATAAAGTAATATTTTTTGTGGTTAACTAACGACGGATTTAACGATATACTAATAATCAAAACAAATTATATTTTAAATAACAATACAGTACAATACAACAGGTAACCGAACAAGATGTTAGTATTTATCTTTTAGAAAATGTCCAAATTTACCGATACATTTTTTACTATGGTTTAAAATTGTCATTCATTATATTTTTGGTTGAAATTTTGTTAGGAGTCAAGATTAAAACAAGATTTTTTTCTTAACAATAGGATAAAATTAGATCCAAAGTGTTCAATTTTAAATAGTACAAAAGTAAATTTGACCATCTCTTAAATAAAAAAAAAATGTGGTTTACAAGTTGGAATTCCACTACAGCAGCACCAATGGCAAGGTTAATCCGAAACATTTTCTTTCACTCTTCCACCATTTCCCCACCGGTACCGCCGCCGCTCAAATTCCACCACCTCCGCCGTATCCACGCCGGCAACAGCTTATCTGCTTCCGCTTCAGTTCACAGTAAACCTCGGAAAAACAAAGTAAAAAAGGTGGAAAAGACCAGTAATAGTAGCGTAATTAACCAAAACAAGCTTTCACAAGTGAAGCGGAGGACTCGGTCGGAGAAAGAGCTAGATGAGGAAACCTTCCTGAAGCACTATGGAAATGACAACTCTGCCCCCCATGTCCCTGTCTTGCTCGGCGAAGTTTTGGATGTTTTCGCCTCCGCCACTCTCCGCTCCTTCCTTGATTGTACCCTCGGTGCCGCCGGACATTCCTCTGCTGTTAGTACTTTCCTGCTTCTACACTTGTACTTTGTTCTATATTTTTTTGTCCTTTTTGAAAGGAGAAAATTTCTAATTTTCAATTTTTTTAATTTCTAGATATTTAGCTCGTATGGTAAATAAATAAAATTAAGTGATATCATGTTATTTATATCTCGTTACATTCGTGTTGTGGAACATAACTTTGCAATGACTTTGTTGTTCCAATGTAAATGTACTTTGCATTTGTGTTAACAATATAATTTGGACAATGTAACAAGCAGGTATAATTTGGTTACTTGCCTGATTTATTTTGAGGTAGTGATTCTACTATGTTAAATTTCATGTATATACAGATAATTCAGGCTCATTCTGAAATGCAAGTATATGTTGGGCTTGATGTCGATCCCATTGCATATCAAATTGCTCAATCTCAGCTGAAGGGTATCCTACATAAGGAGTCTTGTGACACGGCTTTTGCCTTGAGAGTGCATACCTTTTTGAAAAATTTTAAGGACGTCAAGTCCGTGCTTAGTGAAGTTGCAGACGACCGGTTAGCTTGTGGTGTTGATGGGATCTTGATGGACTTGGGTATGTCATCTATGCAGGTTTGCTCTCGAATTACATACCATTGCAAAACTTAAACCTTTTTATGCCTGATAAATGTTGTGTTTGCAAGCTCTGTTTCCTAGATTTCTGCTTCCTGTGCCTCAACGTGTCATTCTTCTTCTTTGTGTATGAATTGGCTGTAAATGAGAAAAAATTCACTAAAGTTTTTTTGCATTTAATTTGAACTTGTTGAAGAGACAATTAAAAAGTCCGTTCTTTCTAACTGCTTAAGCTTTTAGATGACATGATTACACACTTCAACATGGTATCAAGGCAGGTAGAGGTCCTGGCTTCAAGTCTCACCACCACCTATTATAAAAATTAAATTTTCACATAGGCAATGAAAAAAATGAAACTGGCACGTGAAGGGGTATTTTTTTTTTTGATGAAGTAATTGTTTTCATTAACGGCATCAAGAAGATGCATAAATTACAAAAGAGTCTAGCAATTGTTAGCTCCTTACAAATGTTTATACTAGTACTAGGGAGCTAACAAAATTCAAAAAACTATCAGGGGAGTCAATAGGGGATAGATAAGCCCAGTTATACAAATACATGAACCATCTGGCCTTGAGTTTGTGAGGAGAAGTTGATACTCCATCGAAACACCTGCTGTTTCTTTCATTCCAAATGCTCCAAAAAATAGCTGCTGATATCATCTTCCATACTTTCCTGATGTTGCTATCAACTTTCTAACTCCAAGACTTAAAAGCATCCCTGATATTATGTGGCATGACCCATCTAAGCGCAAAGAGTGATATAAACATATTCCATAAATCAGTTGCAACATGGCATTGAAGAAAAAGATGACTGTGAGTTTCTGCCTCCCTCTGACACATATAGCATCTATTCACAATCTGAAAATTCCTCTTGGCTAAGTTATCTTGTGTCAGACAAGCCTCATAAAGTGCAGTCCAGTTGGAACATATGACTTTGGGTGGCAACTTGATTTTCCATATTAACTTCCAAGGCCATTGGTTAGTTATTACATTGTGAGTTCCTGCTAACTTGTAGGCTGCTTTGACCGAGTACTTTCCTCCATCTGAACTACCCCATTTGAAATGGTCAGGTTCTAGAATGTTTCTTGAAAAATTGTTGAGTGATGAAAGAATTCTGAGCAGATCCTCATATTCCCAGTCTTGCAAGTTCCTTCTAAAAGTTATGTTCCATGAGTTGCCCTCTCTGCACTGATGAACTGTTGAGTTTGGATCAATAACCATTTGAAAGATAGCAGGGTAGTCATTCCTTAGGAGTGTGTTGCCTAGCCATTTGTCCTTCCAGAATTTTATTTGCTGTCCATCTCCTACTGCGAAGTGGTGGTTTTGTGAGAACTCCTCCCAGAGTTTGCAGATGCTCTTCCAAACTCCAACTCCATGTGGTGCTCTAGATAGCTTGGTGCACCGGTGGCTTTGGGTTCCATGCTTGGCACTGACAACTTTCTTCCATAGGCTCTGCTCCTCTTGTGTATATCTCTATAGCCATTTCATTAGTAAGCATTTGTTGTGCAAAGCTTATGTCCCTGACCCCTAGTCCACCTTGGTGCTTTGGCAAGATAACCTTAGACCACTTTACCAGGTGAAACTTATGACCATCTTTAGTCCCTTCCCATAGAAAGTTCCTTTTGATCTTGTCAAGCTGCTTTAGGACCTTACTAGGCAATGGAAAGAGTGACATCTGGTAGGTTGGGATGCACACTACTGATTAGAGTTAGTCTTCCACCCATTGACAAATACTGCAGCTGCCAAGAAGCAAGTTTCTTTTCAAATTTCTCAATGACCCCACTCCATATAGCTTCTGACTTGAACTTTGCCCCTAGTGGAAGTCCCAGGTAAGTAGTTGGTAAACTTCCATTATTGCAGCCTAAAATTCCAGCCAAGTCTTCTAAATTATGCACCTCATTAACAGGGTAGATTACACTTTTGAGCATGTTAATGTGAAGACCCGAAACAACTTCAAATATAAGAAGGGTTAGATTTAGATAGAGCACTTGATTTCTGTCTGCCCCACAGAAAATCAAGGTGTCATCTGCGTAGAGCAGATGAGAAATATTGACTGTGCTTCCTCTCCCAACATCAAAACCTTTCAACCATTGCAGATGCTTAGCTTTATCCAACATCCTACTGAGTCATTCCATTGCTAATATGAATAAGAATGGTGAGAGTGGATCTCCATGCCTCAATCCCTTCTGTGGAGAGAAAAAACCGACTGGGCTCCTGTTGATTAGAATGGAGTACTTCACAGTGGAGATGTTGAACTTGATCCATTTTAACCATCTTTCCCCAAATCCCATTTGCCCGAGAATGGAAATGAGGTAGGTCCAGTTCAGTTGATCAAAGGCTTTTTCTATGTCCAGCTTACATAGGATCCCTGCATCCCCTTGCTTTAGGATATTTCTGCTCGTGCTTTGTCGATTCTAGTATAGTTTACGATATCGTCCCATAGAGATTGGTTAATCTATGCTCACAGACTTGTAATTTTTTTACTTATATTTGAGAGAATCAAATTGGTGAAAAACTGATTTTTAAAATTATAAATTGCTTGAACTAAAACAAATAACTTTAGGAAGATTTATATTTAAGAATAGTTGTGAATCATTGAATTCACTTGATAATGTTATTATAATAAAATCTCAACTTTTATATTTATTTCTCTAAAGAATAATTGATTCTTGCTAACACAATTATATTTTGTTCACTAAGAAATAACCAATTAATAACACTCCGTGAGGTTATGTAAATTAATTGAATCAAAACTAGTGACGATTAAAATGAAATATTTCTCTTGCTTGAATTGTGCTAACAACAACAACGACAATATACCCAGTATTATCCCACACTGTGGGGAAAAAGGGCAGCCCGGTGCACTAAGCTCCCGCAATGCGCGGGGTCCGGGGAAGGGCCAGACCACAATGGTCTATTGTACGCAGCCTTACCCTACATAATTGTGCTAAAAGGTAGTAAAAATTTCGTGAGAATATTTTGATTAAAAATCAATAATCTTGCCTACAACAATTCCTCCTTGAGAATTAAAACTGAGGCAAGCAAGATTACGACCCTAAAATAATAGTTTGCTAAAAATTACTTTCACTATGTTATTTTATTCATTAGTTATTATATATTAATTTTGCTCCGTGAGAATTATAAAATTAATATAAGAATAACTTTGAGATTAAATACATGATAATAGATTAATTAAGAACTATCATTCCAGCGCAGTATGAAATGTACATAGAAAGTTTCAAGCCAAGAATGTGATAAAACTGAGATAATATTATAAAATATATCAAGTTTCATCAACTATCCCAACAGAAAGAAATTACTCCATTATGGAGTATGAATAATTAAAAAGGATTTTAAAAGACTAGAAATATTTAAAAGATTAACGAAATAATTTTTACTACAAGAAAAAGACAAGGAAGAGACCAAGACTAGTTCTTGTGTCTTGCAAAAGATTGGATATATATTTTTTACATAGTGAGCTTGCTATTTATAGGAAAAGATGGCACTTTATTACTTCCTGCTTTGGCCAAAGTGAGGTTATTTTGGTATCGGTGAGATTACTTTGGCCAAAGTAGCTTCTTTCTTTCATTTCCCACATGTCACATTAGCAACTTGACGTCTTCTCTACTATACGGATGAACATGTTTTGACCAATATGGGTTATTGGCAAAAGTGACTATCTTTCTCTCCATTTGACTTCTAGCTTTATCTTCCTTTTTCTTTTTCATGTATTCTTCTCCCTGCAAGATTTGTTAAAACAATACGAGAATAGAATATAATTTATTCATGTTTTATTTCAAAATCTTATTTTGTTTTTTACATAATTTATATCCATCACCATCTGTTGGAGTAATATTTGGAGACTATCAGGATTCTGATTTCTGATTATATTATCAATGTCTTGAATTTATTCCATATATTATTCAGGTAAATGATGCTGAAAGAGGTTTTAGCGTGCTGAAGAATGGACCTCTTGACATGAGAATGAATCCAAAGGTAATTTATTTCCAGATTTTGTGTGAATTTGACGCTCATTCTGATTTCTGTAGCGCTGATGCTTGTTTATGCTGCATTGCGTATTCGTTCATGTTTCTAAAATTTCTATGTTTACTCTTTGGAGAACTATATTGATTTTGGTGATTGTATTCATCTGGTTTAGTGGATAGTTAAATTCCTCGAGATTCATGTTTGCTCTTTGGTAAACTGTGCTGAATTTGAGATTGTATTCCTCTGGTTTAATGGGTGAAAATTTCTACAACAGATGCATAAAACATCGTCTACGGTTGTATTTGTCGTCCTTCCTTGTAATTTGTAACTGTTAAGTATATCTGCTTGTAATTGGTAGAGTAATCATTTGGTGTGTTTCTCTTTGGGAAATTTGTTGGGATAATCATAGAGGTGGGTTCTAGGTCTTTAGACAACTTGAAGAGGCAGTTCAATAAAAAAAGTTTCTTAGATATCTTTTTAGTAGTAGATGTACTGAATGCTGGGAAGTTTGAAGTACTCATTACTCAATGGTAAAATTGTCAGCATGGAAACTAATGGGAGATTACTGGTTTTCTGGAATTGAATTAATTAAGGATCAGGGTGAATTCAATCATTCTGTTGCGGTAGAAGTTTGCGGTAAGGATTGAAAAACTATAAGTTTGACCGAGGTAAAAGGCCTCCCCTTTTTCTTGTGCATAAGATTAAACATGGATGAACTTATTGAACTCTGATAGTGAGCAAAGGCTATTTCTGGTGGCATCCTTGTTTGCACAAGTACTCTCATACATGCAAGAATGTGTAAACGAATTTTGATCTACATATGCATTAAGCTGGTGAATCACATCATACACTGTTGAAGGGTTAAAAATTTTGTTTGACATCTCTTTTCGTTCTTTTTCTTACCTTTTTTTTTTCAGTGGTCACTGGTCATCAATGATGCACATAAAATTTTACATAAATTATCAGTTATCGTGATTGCATCCTATTTAAGTCTTCATTGTTGATATCGCTAATTGTTTGACTTCAAGATATCTATTTCAATAGACATTTCTCTGTCCTATACTTTCTATAGAAAGTTCATAGATGTGGAAAAAATGGTTCATGGATTTTTCCCTGATTAACTGACACAGGACTGTGACAGGCAACTCTGAAAGCTGAAGACATACTGAATTCTTGGCCAGCTGATGAATTAGGACGAGTTCTGCGAGATTATGGAGAAGAAAGCAATTGGTACTCTCTCCAAAACAGAATTGTTAAGACTCGTCTACATGGAGGGTTACATTCTACCAGTGAGCTGGTAGACCTTATTCAGAATTCAACTTCTAGGACTAAAGGTGGTTATCTCTTCCAGGTGGCCTTGCCTCAATTCAATAATTTAAATTTGTCTGAAATTTTATGAATTTCTTAACTATTACAAACGAGGTTTGGTGTGATAGGCACTTTTTCATACTTAATAATCTCTGCACATGCTTGTCTATGGAAATGGGAAATGTGATTATACTTTGGTTCCTTGCTTAAGCAGGAAGGCAAGGTTGGATTAAGACAGCAACTAGAGTTTTTCAGGCTTTGCGAATAGCTGTTAATGATGAGCTCAAGACACTGGATGATTCCATCCGTGCTTGTTTTGAGTCTCTCAGTTCTGGTGGAAGGCTTGCCGTAATTTCATTCCATAGTTTGGAGGACAGGATAGTAAAACAGGCATTTCTCAATATTATGAACTGCAGCGAAGTTGATGGAGGTGGGATTGAAGATGAAGAAGGGAAGCGCTTATGTGAGCTGAGGAAAATTAATCTTGATACTGTTAAAGAAGAAGCATGGATAAAACAGGTGATACAAGGTCAGAATGGAACTATCCTTACAAAGAGACCCATAACACCATCTGAAAAGGAGGAGGCATTAAATCCTCGAAGTCGGAGTGCTAAACTAAGAGTGATTCAAAAAGCCTGAAGAAAGGTGGATGTCATAGACGTAGCGCGTAGTGGACCTTGTTGAGATTTTCTGCTCTCAAAGATGAGGAGCTCTATCAATTGTTTCGACATCTAAAGTTAAGTAACCACAGCTTATTCTTGATCGGACTTATTCATCAGGCATAATTGTCCTCTCAAGGAAGCCTAATGAAGCTCCACCTCTTCTGGGGACTTGTCATACAATTTAATGATTCAACAATTAGCTACCACATTCCAATCAGCTTGTCATCATATTTTTCCATCGTTGTGTATCAAGAAACCGTTGCCAACTGTCAGCTAAGACCGGAGATAAAGCTTGAAGGTTCGCTTGATTTGTTACATTCAACAACAAGCTCGCCATAGGCTACCGGTGATGCCCAAAGTGCATATTTATTGTATAGGGGACTTATGACTGAGGAAAGGTATTTTTTCTACCTTATGTAACATGTCGAAGGAGTTTTACTATCATTTCAAGTTCTTAAATATAACTCCTAGTAGCTTAATTTATCCCAAGGGTTTGAGTATTTGAAATCCATGTTCTTGATATGCAATTTCATAGCATGATGATCTTGATCTATGCTTTATTTGAAGCGTCTCAGTGCAAGCTTTGTATATTCATAGCATGAGAATCTTGATCTATTCTCACTTTAATTGGTGATTCTTAAACTTAAAGTTAATTTGTTTGTTTTGATGCAAACAACTAGTGTGGATTGGGCACATTGCACACTTCAAAAGATACCTCCACTGTCGTTAGTTCACTTCATTAATGATGTTAAACAGCAAAAGAATGTCATGTTTATTAGATAATAATTTTACGGCTACTTTTTATATTTCCCAGAATTTATTTATCTTTCTCTTTTCAATTTACTTTTATTTATTTTGTTTTATCAATTTCAGAGATAATGCAAATCTACATTTCGCTTTTAAAACGATAACTTCTCATTTTCATAGAATAGCTAATGCTATAAATATACTAGTAGTCAAGGTATTCATTTGAAGAAACTTGTAAAATAGACAATTTCAATGTGGAGAAAATGTTCTCTGCCTGAGAAAAACCTTTTTCGGATCACTTTTCCAATGCTTGGATACATCTGCTTTTAAATTTCAATACTAAAATTAAATTTCTTTCCTCTTCGTATTTATTCCGATGGAAAAATTTGAGTAAATTTCATGAACCGTTATCTAACTTTGAGTTTGTAACACAAAAGTCACTTCTCTATTTTTTGTCACATAAAAGTCATTCAACTTTGAGTTTATAACACAAAAGTCACTTTTTTATTTTTTGTCACATAAAAGTCATCCAACTTTGATCAAGTTAACTTAAAAGTATATATTATCTGAATTATATATTTTGTATTGGAAATTTGCCGTGACACTCTAAAATAAGTTAGTTACATTTGGGATAATTTTAGAAACCTCCCTCCAAATTTTGCTAATCTCTGTTGTGGTTTGCGGATATTGCGTTTACTTTACTTATTTTGATTATACTTTAGTAATAATTTTGTTAACTCATTAATGTAAAAAATATGATTAGACTACTTTGACCTTATTGATTTATACTCATTTGTTTGGTGAATTTTATAAACACCTTTTTGAATTAGCAGAAGAGTCAGCATCAAACAATTCAACGACAAACACAAACTCTACGAGCTCGATCTATTCCCATGATTTTAGCCTTTTAGATTGTTACAAAGAAATCAAAATATGGAAATAAATATAATTTCATAAACCACACGGGAGACTAGTGTTACGAAGAGAAACATCAGGGAATGTCTCTAAAATTAATCTATTACATTTAAAATTTTTTATCAAGCTAACTATTGTGGAGTGTCATATCATATTCCGGTACAAAATATAAAAATTCAATTGATATTTACTTTTTAGTTAGGCCAAATTCAACTTGGTCCCATTTTTCATTTTGTCACTCTATCTCAACCTTGTTTCATTTTGGCCCTCTAACTCTATTTCTTATGTTTTATTTTAACACAAAAGCTGAAACCAGTGCAAAAAAAAATATAGCGCGTGTGTATACACAAATCTGAAGTGTAATAAATATCCAATTAAATGTTGCTCATCCTTGTCAAACAGGTCAATACTAAAATACCCGACCCAGATTTCTTGGTGTCCATGATATTTTCAGTTCAACTTGAAATCCACAAGAACAAATATCCATTCCATTATGAACAAATAATTTTCTTTGAGATATGGATTCACTTCAAATTTCAAGCTTATATGAAATAAAGGATGAAAAAAATCAGGTGGCAACATTTAATTGGATATTTATTACACCTCAGATTTGTGTATATACACGCGCTATATTTTTTTGCACTGGTTTCAGCTTTTGTGTTAAAATGAAATATAGAAAATAAAGTCGGAGGGCCAAAATGGAACAAGGTTGAGATATAGTGCAAAAATAAAAAACGGAGTCAAGTTGAATGGGTTGTATATGTATTTGGCCTTTTAGTTAACTTGGTCAAAGTTGGATGACTTTTATGTGATAAAAAATAAAAAAATTACTTTTGTGTTACAAACTCAAAGTTGAATAACTTTTATGTGACAGAAAATAGAAAAGTAACTTTTATGTTACAAACTCAAAGTTGAATGACAGCCGGTGAAATTTACTCAAAAAAATCAGTGTTGATAAATATTGTAAATAGTTCATGAAATAACAAAAAAAAATCCACTTTATGTAAAATTTATATGTGCTGTTGTAAACATAATATTAATGTCTATAAATGAAACTACCATATATAATTCATATTTTCGGTAGCGTTTAAACTAGTAGTTCACTTATACTTTCAGAATTCTTGGTTTTTCCCGAATTGAAACAGAGTCTAAATAGGATTCTTTTTAAGGAAAAAAAAAAGGGAAGACAATAAAGTTAATTACGTAAAGAGCTTCTTCGTTTCAATATTGAGTTGTATGTTTATAACAAAATGTCCATAAAAGAAACCAGCAAATTATTCGGTGGTGTTTGAACTAGAAATTCATTTTAGTTTTCCAATTTTTGTAGTATTCCGAATTGACAACAATTTACCAACAAAAAAATAGAAACAGAAACAATGTTAATATTTTGTAAAGTGTAAGTATTTATTCAAGGGGGTGGAGTGGGGTTGGGGAAGATTTATGAAACTCGTTCCTAAGAGGTTTAGAATTCCTTCTCGTTCTAAACCCAAACAGTTCAGGTTTAGAATTCTCTTAATTCTATAAAACTCGCTTTCTTGATCAAAACGCTTTTCCATCCTTAACTCTCTCTAATTCTCTTTGGTCTTTAGTTACAAGAATACTACTACTACTATATTTCTTTATATCTGCTCTTCTTTTCTTGTTTATTTGACGAACAATTAAGGGTAACGCAATGCTGACGGTAGATGATTTTTTGGGCATGGAATTTAAGCCCAACATGAGTCGAGTGGATTATTTGGTGGCTGTTGCTGAAGTTGCTCAGTTAAAATCCATGTATGAAGAAGAATACAACGTTGTTGCTGAACAAGATAAAGAGTATTGCATCAAAAAAGAAGAAAAAATCATTCACAATATTCAGTCCATATTATCATCTTTCCCAGTTAATAATCTTGATCCTCAAGAAAAGCATGTTCTTGATATCGCCATCCCAAAAGGGAAACGATCACTGCAAAACATACAGCCAAGAAAAGTTACTGAACAATTTATTTGCAGTGAAGAATTGATGATCAAGAAAGCTGTGGAAAATTTAGAAGAAAAAGAAATCAGAGTAGTAAAAGTTGGTGATGGGGAAAACAGAACGATCAAAATCAATTGGGGTACTATTGGTGCTAATTTTGCAATTGGAAAATCAAGAACAGGAAAAGTAGCCAACGACCCACTTGGTTTAAGCAATGAAGAATACTTCATTAACAAAAATTTGGCCAATGAAAAACCAGCAAAGCAAGAAGAGGAAGATAAAGAAGAGGCTAAAAGGGAAAAGAAGAAGGTGAAAAGGAACATTATTGTAAGAGTTGCAGCCCCTGTTGTAGTTAACAACCAACCAAGAGAATTGCCTATAGAATTCAAGAACAAAATTACAGAAATAGGAGGTTCAGTTGAATCAGCAATATTGGTAATAGAAAAGAGGTTGTTTGAGACTGATATTAAACCGGGAGAGGGCAGACTTTCAATCCCACAAAGGCAAATGAGTAATGAGTTTCTTAAACCAGAAGAAGATGCACATTTGAATACTCGCAATGGGAATAATGTGTCTGAGAAAAAAGTGAAGTTGATTGAGCCTTCTCTTGAAACATGTGATATTAATCTGAGAAAATGGAATATGAACAAAAGTAATGGGAAAACAAGTTCAAGTTATGTGTTGACTACATATTGGAATGCTGTGACTAAAAGGAATGCTTTGAAAATTGGTACTCTGATGCAGTTGTGGTCATTTAGAGAAGGTACTCAGTTATGTTTTGCACTGGTCAAGCTTCAAGACTAAAGTTAAGCTGTTAAGGCAATAGTCTTTCTCAGTAGTTCGTATTAGCATATTTTTTATTCATTCTTCTACTAATTTGTAGTAATAATACTGACATGTTTAATGTTTATCTATTAGAAGGAATTTTTTTCTGAATAGGTTTCTAATATATGAGACAGCTCCTACTTTTCTGTATTACATATTCCTAGTTTTTAGGCATAATATTCCCATGTTATAACTGGTGAAAAGTTTCAATTTCTTTCAATTTGAGAAACATTATATGTCATTCCATTTTTAAAATTTTACATTACTGTTGAGAAATAATTATGGTTCAATTTGTAAGATGTTTTTTTTTTTGGGTAAGATGTTTCAATCTAAATATTTGAGTCTTCTTTTAATCAATTCCTCGGAGATAACTCGAAATTCTTTACTGTTCCATAAAAGCACATCATTGGTAACAGCAACCAAGATTAATTTTTGGATCTAAAATGGAAACTTGTCTGGATTCTGGATTTGGATTTGGATTCGAGTTGGATGCTGGACTTATTAGCTCCACGCGATATATTCCCATATCCAGAAGACGAAAGTAGCAGAGATGAGGATGCTGAGATGGATGTGTGAGCACACTAGGTTGGATAAGATTAGGAATGAAGATATTTGGGAGAAGTTGAGTGTGGCTCCCATAGACGATAAGATGCGGGAAAAGAGACTTAGATGATTCGGACACGTGCGGAGGAGAAGCCAAGATGCCCCGGTTAGGAGGTGTGAGCGGTTGGCTTTGACGGGCATGAGAAGAGGTAGAGGGCGGCCTAAAAGGTATTGGAGTGAGGTGATCAGGTAGGAGATGTCGCGACTTCAGATTTCCAAAGACATGACTCTAGATAGAGAGGTGTGGATATCGAGCATTAGGGTTGATGGTTAGGAGGGAGTCGAGCATTTTTCTTCCTTCGTATCGGGGGTGGGGCTAGCCTGTTAGGGTGTTGTCTTTGGATTATTAGTGGTGTAAGTTTGTGTCCACACTATTTTTCCGTTTTTTTCCATAGTACGGTAGCTCTAGCTATTACTCGTTGTTGTTATTGCTTTTCTATCCATTTTCTATTTCCTACGATGCTTATATTATCTTTCTGATTTTTGTTGTTGTCACAGATTCTATATTTTCGTTTTCTTGAGCTGAGGGTCTCTCGGAAACAGCCTCTCTATCCCTCCGGGGTAGGGGTAAGGTCTGGGTACATTCTACCCTACTCAAACCCCACTTGTAATTTTTTACTGGGTGGTTGTTGTTGTTGTTGTTCTTTTCTTGACGGTAAAGTTATCTTCGTGTGGCATACATGTCACGGGTTTGAGTCGTAGAAGCAACTACTAATATTTGCATTAAGGTAGGTTATTTACATCACACCCCTAGGGTTGTGACCCTTCCTCGGACCCTATGTGAATACATGGTGCTTTGTGTGTGCATCAGGCTACTTTTATTTTTATGTGTTTTTCCTGGTTTCTCATTTGGTGTTCTGTATTCGCATTGGGGCCCGTCCGACTCCAGATTTGCATGAGGAAGTCCCACATGTGAATAAACCGCTTCCAAATAAAGACGATTCCATATCTAAGACTCGAATCTGAAACCTCTGATTAAGGATGAACTAGTACTTATCATTCCAGTGCAAACAAGTACACGTAAATTGTTGTTTGTACTTTGTAGCAATAAAATGGTTGGCCTCTTCTTAGGTGGTTCTGTACTATTGAACAATAATAGTTGCTCCTTGTTGGGCTAACAGGTCCGCATATATCCATCAATCTTATTCGTGATTAATTGATGAATAATATTGACGAGATTCTTGGAATTGCCGTGGTGCTCGATCCCTTGAGTTTCGGCGTAGTTTTAGATCCCTACTTGACTATCATCATCCATTCCTCGTGGTCCTTCTGGAAACGCATCTCGCTGACCACATGCATCTTCGTGATGACTTCAACTTCACAAGCATGGCTGCTGTCCCGGTTGAAGGTAACGCATGAGGTATAGCCGTTCTTTGGTTGTAGAAGAAGTTGCAGTGACTAACCAAGAGGTACACTGCATGGTGGAGGTAAAATCATTAACTCGTCGCTTTTTATTCTCTATTATATATGCTAGTCTTACAACATCGAAAGTTTTATGGCAGAACCTCCATTGTATTTTTGATCACTATCATGGTCCTTGGTTGGTGGGAGGAGATTTTAATGAAGTCACTCGTGCATCCGAAAAATTTGGAGGTCGGGCTATTAATAACTCTCGAGTAGACAGCTTTATTAATTACTTAAAGTATTGTCATCTTGTTGATCTTGGTTATAAGGGTAGTAGGTTTACCTGGACAAATAATAGGAACCAACACTGCTCTATTCTAGAACGACTTGATAGAATAGTAGCAAATTACGCTTGGATAAATTTGTTTCCTGATGCTTCTGTTAGACATCTCCCGCGAACTCATTCTGATCATTGCCCGCTGCTTCTTAATCTATTACCTTCCAAGAATATAGTAACCAAACCATTTAGGTTTGAAAGTATTTGGAACTCTCACCCCACATTCAGGCCTCTTATCTCTAATATTTGGAATTGTAATAATCATAATTTACTTCCTTCAATTCATCAATTCCGACAGGATGTCCAAGACTGGAACCGTGTCACTTTTGGCAATATTTTCCATAAAAAAAGGGTACTTCTAGCTAGGATTGGAGGCATTCAACAATCTGTTTACTATCCAACGAGTAATTTCCTCAAAGACCTGGAAAATCAACTTATTAGTGATTTTAATGTCTTATTAAAACTGGAGGAAAACTTTTGGAAATTAAAATCTCTTATTAATTGGTTAAATGATGGGGACGCTAACACTCGTTTCTTTCACTTATCCACTCTTCAAAAGAGACATCGTAATCGCATTACTGCCTTAAAAGATGATGTTGGAAATTGGACATTTGACACAAATATCATAAAAGACTCTATCTTTCTATATTTTCGTAATCTCTTTACCACTGAGCATTTAAGCACAACACTTAAGTACCCACCAAATAATACTGGTATTCTCTCTGATTCTGATGGTATCGTACTCACACGCTCCCTAAATAATCTTGAAATAGTACGTGCTATAAATTCTTTCAAACCTTACAAATCTCCTGGCCCAGATGGACTACACCCACATTTCTACCAAAATTATTGGCCAGAAGTTAGAGAATCTATTTTATAATTCTGCCACCAAGTCTTTGAGAAATAATTTATAACCCCGAAAATTAATACTACTTATCTCTGTCTCATCCCTAAAAATCAAACTGCTTCTTGCTTAAGTTACTATCGACCTATTAGCCTTTGTAATACTATTTATAAAATCATTACCAAAATAATTGTTAATCGCATCAAGCCGTTCTTGTCCAAAATAATTGGGCCCACACAATCTAGCTTCCAACCAAATCATCGTGCCTCTGATAATGCGATTATTGTTCCGGAACTACTTAATCATTTCCGCAATCTCAAGGGTAAACGAGGTCAGGCTCTTATCAAATTAGACCTCGAAAAAGCCTTTGATCGTTTGGAATGGTCCTTTGTGCGACGCACACTCCTACACTTCCACTTCCCCTTGCCTCTCATCAATCTCATCATGTCTTGTATTACTACCTCCTTCGTATCAATACTTATCAACAGTGCTCCAACAAACTTCTTCTCCCCATCACGTGGCATTCGACAAGGGGATCCTTTATCACCTTACTTATTCATTATGTGTATGAAAATGCTTTCAAGAAGCATCAACATTGCCGTTGACTATCATTCTTGGGCCCTTATCCAAATTTCCCGCTTTGGGCCATCAATCTCCCACCTATTCTTCGCAGATGATATCATTTTTACTTCACAGATCACAACGATTTTCTGTCACACAATCATTGATTATTTAAATTACTTTACTCACCATTCGGGACAAAAGATTAATTTTACTAAATCAAAAATCTTTTTCTCCAAGAATTGTACTACCTTAGATAAAAACTTTGTCCTTACCTCCTTTAATATGTCTGAAGGCACTACCTTTGAAAAATATTTGGGTTTTTCTCTGCCTACAACTCGTACAGGGATTTTCAATTCCTATTAAACAACTTTAAGGCACGTCTAGCGGGATGGAAAACCAAGTTTGTCTCCCCAGCGGGCAGAGTCACTCTTATTAAATCCACCCTCAATGCTATCCCAAACCATGTAATGCAACTGGTTACACTACCAGCATCCATTGTACATAAATTGGAATAATACGAAATACATTTTTTGTGGGGATCCACCACTAGTCAAAAAAAGCTACACATGCTTAGTTGGGGGACCGTTACTAATTCAAAGAAAGTTGGAGGTCTGGGGATCCAAAGGCTTCAGAGTTTAGACAAAGAACCAAGCACTTCTCGCTAGCACGGCTTGGCGCCTATTCCACCACCATGCCTCTTTGTGGGCTTTCATTCTTATTTCTAAATATGCCAATCCTTTAAAACCCCTAGCGAAACACTCTACTATCCGGAAGAATATCCAAAAAGGTTGGGCTCTTTGTCAACAAGGCCTCCTTTGGATGTCTGCTAACGGAACCCACATAAATTTCTGGAACGACGCTTGGCTTCAACCAAATACCACCATCAGGAAGATGATACATGGTCCTTTAACTAATTCTGAAATGAAGGCACCAATTGCATCCTATCGTGCACAACATTCATGGGACACCTCAAGCTTATCCTTTGAGTTACTAGACGATATTACCAATCTCATAAGGGGTGTTTATTTTCCTATCAATTCATACTCACATGATCGTATCATCTGGGGATTAACTCCAAATGGCCTATTTTCAGTCAAGTCCCTTTACACAGCCCTTAACCCATCACAAGTAATGATCACGCCCAACTATGCCTTATAAAAAGAATTAAGCGGTCGTTACAAATATATTTCGGCTAATAAGTTCGGAGTCGAATCTCACAGGGAATTAACCTATCAAACACAGCTACTAGACTCACACAAATTCACACAATCAATCTTCAAAAATATT